CGAAGAAAGGCGGGAAGGACTGCAACTGAAAGTGTCTGATCTCAATTGATAATCAAGGAAATAAAGTTATCACAAAGAATTTATTTTGCTAGCACACTGGAAGCGAATATGAGAGCCCCAGGTTGTTCCTGCAAAGCTGATAAAAACGCGATCACTAGGACAGCATTTCTAGTTGTCTGAGGTCATCTTTAGAGACAATGACTGTGTGTGTGTGCTTGTTAATAGGATTTATCCGGTTGTACTAAGATGCCGTTATAAATGTGTTAAGTCAAAATCATGCATAAAAATAACTTTTACTGCTTATATTTAGCATTTTACGTTTTCTTGGAATAATATTTTGTGATGCTATTAGCAAATGTGTTTAATTTAAAGGGAAACTAAAATCAAGAGAAGAATTCTTCCTTATTTAGTATTCACTTTTGAATAATTGTTTTACTCAGGCAATCGAAAAGAACATCACTAAGAATGCGGCCAGCCTATGTAATTCAAATATCACTATATTAGTTTGCACGATAATCTGCAATGCAGCCGCGTTTATATAATCCGTTTGTAATGAAAGGACACTTTTAGCATCTCGCTAAAAACTCCTAATCAAGGCTTAATACCGTAGGTTCTGTCCTGTGCCACCAGTTCTGCAATGCAATAAAATCAGATAACAGTAATCACGTGTGACGTAAAGTGCAAAACATGCCTTCATCTTGATAAGGTTGCAACCGATGTCCCGATAAGATTTATCGTTTTCTAGTTAACCCTAGAAACTGCATATATACTCGAATTTAGGAAATGCATATTAGCCAAAAACAGTCAAACATTAAAAAAGGGATTGCCTTACTTGTTCCACAAGCGGGCCTCGGCAAGTCGAGCATTCGCTGGCTGAGGTATTCCTAGGAAACCCGAAAATGTTAGAGTTGAGACTTCGCGTGGTTTGACAGGGGTCAGTCCGGCGAGGTAGTTTACCGAATTAGACCGCATGCTAAATCTGTCTGCTGTGTCCCCGGCCTCATTAACAGTTCGCAATGCATCATTTGGTGAATCCATTGCTCTTCGCGCAGTGGATAGCCAGGCATTATCCATCATCCTGTCAAGCAGCGTCTCATAGGGTGCCCAGTGTTGCATTAGCAGATTATCCAGGAGACTGCGAACCTAATAAGGGAAACAGCTGACCATGAAACTGAGATCACTTGACCAGAGCGCAAGAAACCTCTGTGATTTGGAAGTAACTGTGGAAAAATTTTAATATAAGCGAAACTGAAAGTCCTAGGAAGTAATTGAGAAGATGCAGATGCGAGCGATGGGACAAGAATTTTATTCAGTTGGCGTCTTTATCAGAAAAATTAGCAGAAACGAGTAATCCATGCACAAGGAATTGCAGTATTTAGAGGATAAAGTCGCTATGCTACTGCATACATATGAAAAATTAACGCTCCCTCCCCCCCAATCCGGGAGCGTTTCCCGTTTTTGTGCTAATTGCTTGATAGCCGGCATGCGGGTCGTGACTTGCTAAGCTTTCATCACCCTTGTAGGACTTGGGCGTGGTGATTGTGTCAACATCGGTAACTGTGTACCAAACCTTTTCCGGAGGTCGGCTACTATAGACCGTTGGCGAGTGCCTAGAGGGCGTTAAATTCATAAAAGTTTCATATACAAAGACTCTCAGGCAATCTTCGAATCGAAAACTTGCTTTACTAAGAAATAGAGTAGCAATAGCAAGCTTTTGAATCAAGAATGCACTGCGATAGATTGCAAGGGTGGCACAGTGCTAATATACACGGCAAAGGAGGCACCCATGACAATATATAAGTTTCAACTGATTACGGGGCTGCTTAAATTTGTCTCAAAACTGCCTCTCAGACCACCAACCAGTTCTCACTGAGGTTTAGGTAACGATGACCGACGTACTGTTTACCAGCTTTGGACAAAAAACCCATTGTCTGGCAGAACTTCACAAGGGCATGCACCTATTCTAGGCTGAGAATAGCTATACTCGCATTAGCTGAGGAGCCTAATATTTTACTGTTTACTTCTATAGAATTTCCCTCCTGAACTACACGCATTGTCTGAAAACACCGAAAAAATACACATTATACGCCATACTGCAGGCGCATAAAGCGAAGAATTTAGTCCAGTCTAAACTTAGAATTAATCCCATAGTCAGCCTAGCGCAGTAATCGTCCGTGTATTGGCCGTTAGACCTGCGCTGAAATGTTGTACCGTTTTCGAAAATAGGAGCACATATATCTCCAGGATAAAGGAAGAAACTAGCTGGGCTTTGTTTCAACTAGGGTTTTCATCTGGGTAACTGTTATCCCGAATTTCAAAAAACAGTTTTGCTTCCTATGGAAGAAGCGATCCTCAGATCGGAATGTAGAAAACGTGTACAACGTGATCGTTCCTAATTTCTTTTTGGTTCCACCGGAAATTTATGCTAACGGTCGTGTTACGACGAAGATTGCACGCAAAAGGAATAACGAATAAAAAAGGAAAAATGAATTAGCTATTTTTTACTTCATGGACGTTGATACCTACCCATAATATACAAGCAATAACATGTCAGGTCAGCGATAGTAAGAGGCAGGTTGTCAAACAATGTCTTACATGAAAATATTGCTTCTCTGATTTAAAATATTTTTGTTTAAATTGGAATGGGCGCTCTGCAGATGCCAGTTAAAAAAGGGATACGAGCGTTCCTAATCGTTGACACCAGCGAAAACGCGAGTCGCAGGAAGTAATTGAGAAGACGTGCACGTGATCGCTGGGGTGAAAACTTTATTTATTTATATAGGCAGTTTGTTTGGGCGCGACGCGGCCCACCGATAGGAAACCTTTGTCCTTCGGGACGTCTCTACTTATAGCCGAATACATTTCTTGTCCAGGAGACCGCGTTTACTTCTCGGTAGTCCTTAATGGTATTTCGGTTCAACCAGGGGTCCATGCAGGCGGTCCTATTACGACGACCAATGCAAGATGAGGAATAATGAAAAGAAGGACATATGATACGACGGTGTCTGGTTTTATGGCCGTTAATAGTTAACCTTGCTCTGTAAACAACAGCGTGTCAGATCAGTTCAAAAAGGCTGTAAGGCTTGTTTTCGTGTTCAGTAACCAAATACTCGGATTTTATACTCTGCGCCTATAGATAGTCCAACCTGGCGCTCGGGTGTGTTTGGTCGAAAATTCTCATTTCGACGTTTCTTGTCATAATCAGCATTACTTAATCAGATAAAATCAAACTGTGATAGGACCAATTAGGGGCGCCTCGAGTGTAATTGAACGGGCAAGCCGAAAAAGTGCACAATTCCTTAAGAGTATAAGAAAGATCAGCAGGGTTGAAGCAGAGTTGAAACTGCCCTTTGGAATACATGACGCTCTTTTATACACGCTTGATTTGATCCTCTAATGCCAAAATAAATTTGCACTCCAGATAAATACGTTAGGGAGAAAACACATAGCAAATGCGTATTAGTTGCCGTCGAGCACGTAGAGGAAAGCCGCCAGTTTCCTTGTCATTTACCCTTTAAGTCGTCCTAGTTGTATAATTAAAAAGGAAAATGAAATGGCCATTGCTGCGTTAGTTGAAGCAGTTAGCCCTAACCTGCCGAGGGAAACCATACAAAGTTGGTGAAATAAAATGGACGATCTATCCCTTTCGAAGCAGACCAACTTCCCGTCAAAGGCATTTTAGAAACAATTAGTCATGGAGGCGTGCCGTTCGCCCGCCCGAGCTTCAGAATTCTGTTTTACGGGACCGGTGGTGTACGTTTAGTTTAAAGTTTGCTATTGAGATAAATATTTCAATTTTAGTTTTATTTCCTTTTTCGTTTAGTTAACTTTGTTTAGTCTAGCTTAATTTAGTTACTTTAGTTGAATATATAGTCGTCACTTAAATAGATTTATCTTACGTTAGCTGTACCTACATAAACTAAAAATCCAAGTAAAACTAAGATAGAACTAATAACGTAAATCATAAACTTAACCAAAACTCATAAACCTACACGTTACCACCGGATTAGGAGCTAGGGGTATCTAAGATGGGCGACAAACGTAACCCTTACCCACCATTGTAGGTGACTTAAATTCCTAAGTGATAAGTGGTAATCCTTATTTTACGTACACTTTCCATGTAGCCGTGAACTGAAAAATTGTAGTGCTGCCAGTATTCGGCCTGAATTTGACGCCAGGTGGCATTCACGACATTGTGGATCTGAAGAAGGTACTGTGTGCCGTCGTCGGTCTGTCCGTTGCGGGTTGTCAGCTGTGTCTGAAGGACCACCAAATTGGCCAGCTCCTCCATAGTCAGTCCAAGTTCGCCGGAGGACCGAATCTCCTGCATTTCGCAGGCCACCGACTGGTTGATAAATTGCTGTGTCTAAAACACACACACACACACACACGAAGGGGAAGAGAGATGAAAAAGTTGGATTGGAGAGTCTAGTAGGGTTTTGACAACTGTCCGTCACAGACTTCGCTCTTTACATCACTATACAGTTTATGTCATCAAATACTCCCCGATCACTAGTAAACCTAAAAAATACATAGAATGCAGTGGACGATTTTTTCGCTCACTTACTCTCGTAAACGAATACTCCTTCGTTAGAAAAAAAATTAGATCTGTGCAGGACTCGAATAAAATAGTCATAAATACTGATGTGATGAGGACCTCAGGAAAACAAAGGTACTTAAAATACTTATGTGTAAATAAACCGAAGAAAAATGCGATTCCCTCAAAGTGCAACAGACTGCCGAAGGTTCATGAAGCCGGTACATCCCTGCCAAAAAATGCTTACTGCCTAGTACATAAATGCTTAGCCTGTCTACTTGTCTGTTTTGACGTCTGAATTGCCTGTTTTCAGGCTTCGACACAATTGCTACTTCATATGTACGGTCTCGGGAAAGGGAGAGAGGTTCGGTTTACGCTTCATTCAAAATAACTGTAAGTCAAAAGTCAAGCTACTGGCAGATGAATATAACGGAACAGAAGTCCATGAAATGAACAGAGATCCTTAGCGTTCTGTATAACTACAGTGGAGCAGATCATTAGTTCTTCGATGGAAATTTTATCCAATGAATATATTGTTCAGGCTGCAGTTTAGCAATTATACGTTTTAAAGTTCAAAACTTACAAATAGAGACTGCACGATTAGCGTTGGCAATTTTTTCGCCATTCACCAACGACCCTCCTGATATTCTCACTACTTCGTAAATTTTACTTGTTGTGTATTTAGTTCAAGCCGTAAAAAAGAGAACAAATGTATGTAACAGTTCCTTGTCATCTTGGTTTGCTAAGGGGACGACGAAACACGGAGAAGAAGGTAGATACTTAGTACACGTTCGAGCAAAATTACCACAGAGATTAAATGATGCCAGAGAAACGAAGACGCATGCAAAGCCTCTAATCAAGACTGAAATTACACTGCAGGAATTTGAGAGACAGACTGGCGGTGTTTTAGATTCTACGATATCGGTGTACAACAAGAAGGTGGAAAGTCTGTCGGGGGATACCATATAATCTCAATATACTGGGGGCTATTTATTATCCTATTCGACCAAAAGCGTTGGTCCTTGTTCAACGTAATGAACCGTCCAGCGCCCAATAGGAGACCTAGTTGCCCGTGGCTACCAGATAAAATATTGCACGTTGACGCAGCGGTGTTCAGCACGATTCCTGTTTGGTTTACCTTTTCAAAATGCCGAACAAGTCAGCCGAGGGAGATGACAGTATATTTTTAGGGATAAACCGGTTGCCTGTTGTGCATACACGTTCGTAAATCGCCATGTGACTGCCTCAGCGGTCTTCCAATACCGTGGGCACATATAAGGATAGAATAGAATGTCCGCAATAACGCGAGCGATTGGACAGCAGTTAGCACCACAGCCAACGCGGCGAAGATCAGAGTGTGGGCGCGAAGCATGCCAACATCCAAACCTTCAGCAAAGAACTTCAGGTCACGACAATCGCATTAGGCCAGAATGAGGCGTCTACATGCGGTCAACAGTCATCCATCCTAAAAAAGCAGGCGCATCATGTTTGATCGGTAACTTGTTCGCACAGACATTAAATGCGGCAGTCAGATCTTATTTCTATTAGAATAGGCAGAAACCTAGGCCCGCGGTTGCTGAGGTAATTTCTTCTAAATGGTCGCCCGCTTACATTGCCAGCGATATTAATTAGGAAACCCTTATTATCAGGGTGTGAATATGGCAAAGAGTATCTCAGTTGCAATTAATCTTGGGGTAGAACAGAAACTTACTAACAGATCTTTTGTTAAGTAACAATAAAACAACTTAACAAACCTGACCTGACCTATAACATTGTGAATAGTGGAGTGAACATCAACCCTATTACGAAAACAGCATGGACCTTAAAGAAAAACGAATTTGCAATACAGCCGGCGCTACCTGATATTTTTAATTGACACATGCTCTCCAAAATTTTCGAAAGTATTACGATCTGTTGTTAGACAATTTGCTGTCAGAAGTCTGTTTAACAAGAACTCAAAACCACCATTAGATTATTAGGAGACGATGGCCGATTTGAATAATTCAGTTGACCACGTTGGGAAAACCTCGCGGCCTTGCTGGGAGTTCAGCCCACAGAACAGGGAAGGCTTTTGTGCAGCCGAGGCCCTACCACTCAGCTACGAAGCTCAGCAAGAGCCGTGAATTTAACCAGACTTGCTTTGCGGATTAGACCCCTGTCGAGGCCACGATTTATCCCCAATTGGGTAAACTGAACTGTTAGGTTAGTCTTCTTTAACAATATACATAAATCGTAGAAAACTGCATGTACCGTCTAAAGAACAGCTCAAAAGAAGAAATATAGACTAGCATAAGAGAAATTCGGTTTTCAGCTCAACTAAGAAAATCTTATCTCTGTTCACGAAAATGTTTTACCCCAGAGATCCGTAACGAAACTCACTTCAGGGGTCTTTAGGCGTTTATGTATCACAAACGGTACTGCGAACAGTTTGAAGCCAACCACATGCACAAGTACTAAAGTATCTAATCACATAACTAAACCCAACACTAGGTCACATCATTGGCTTCACTTCTGGTACAGTTTGAGGCCTCATTAGATGAACCGTGCAAACGTAACAACAAACAGTGAAGAGCTCCGTTTGCAGGCACCAGTGCAGTTAACTCTTTGAAAAGTGGTACACACCAACCTGCTTTCTAAGCTCCGACATGGATGTCTGCTCAATTTTCCTCAATTCTTGAAGCCAATGCGAGGCTAGTCGCGGACTGCCAGGCAGTATCTTGCCTGCTCTCTCCAGGCTGACCAAATCTCTGACCCGATCACCCTTGACGTTTTGCACACAGGCAAGCAGGATTTTGAAAGACGATGACTCCAGACTGAGTATGAGCGAGAGGCCGACGCTGAAGGTGAACAGGAGAATGGTGAAGGCGCGAAAGCAGACATAGAAGAAAATGACCACTTTCCGGGAGGTGACGGTTTGATCGGCTGGAAGGCGTCTCAGTTGCATCTTGCCTCCACCGTGGCCATCCTCAGGGGTATGCATCCTGGCGGCGCTCGCTTCACTGCTCATCAGCGCCGAAGTGGACGAGTTGGCCAAGTCTGTAAAAGCTGAGGTATTTGAGATACGCCGTGCGTCACCATCTTTAGGCGACAGGCTCATGACGGGAAACAGGAATTGGCGCTTTTGTGGCCTACACAAGCACAACAGTACAAATGCCAGAAAGAGGATCATGTAGAGGCTACCAAGGAAGACCGAAAGGAGAAGGAAGGGCAGGGGGGTGTGCATTCCGTGAGTATCAATCAACATTGTGCCAGGCAGGTGCGGCGCTGGGTTTGATGTCTTCTGCACTGCTATTGGTCTCTGCGTCGCTAGGGGCTGATCCACGGCTGAAGTGGTTTTAAGAACAGCCTGTACGCGTTCAGTTCGTACACAGTCAGAAATGTAGACCAGGAGAACTATAAAGTCGGATTCACTGGCTGAGCCAAGTTCGTCGAAGAGGTCAACCTCAAAGCGAAGAAAGAATTTGTTTTGAGAGCTTGATTCAGCTGAGTCGTGTTGGGCAGTAGCGTCGGATCGAAATAGAACAATGTCCTTGTCAATCAGTCCATGCTCCGTCAGGTTATAATGGGGATTACGCAGTTCATCAAATATGTTTTGACTTCCGTAGATGAGGGTGATTTTAATGGAGATGAAGGCCGGTGTGCCAGTCAACCAGCCTAGGATTTAAAAAATGTCCTGAAAATGCGGATGAGGTATGAAATATTATTGCAGTTTGCCTAGAAGGTAGGGCCAAAGATGCAGAGTTTAGCATCAGGAAGTCTTACTCAGTTTCCCTTCTTGTTAAGCTATAAAAAACATTTTATATAAGAAACGATTAACAGTCATATGCTACCAACAACCCTCTGAAAACATGTATATCTGTTTCAGCATGCCCTCAGGTAAAATTCATAAATGCAAAAAGAATCAAACCAATGGCTTACAGAAGGAGAGAGAGGAGGAGGATCACTCCGCCACGGTACTTTTGTGAGGGCTCGCTGAAGGTATTTCATGTTGTCAGTTTCATGGAAAAGTCTTATGACATAACTGAATTTCAGAACGATGGCGTTTTATATTCCAAAGAGACTTACTCTCCAAAGATGATTTAAACATATAAAAGCAAGGCATAAAGCGTAAAATTCAGTAACACACAATTTGATGATGAGTATTCCTCAGGTCACTTTCCATCCACTTATATATAGGTAAAAAATAATTTGCTAACATAGTCGCTCTTGTCTTTGCTGGCGATACTATTGACAGTGATATTGCTAGTTATCAGGAGCGTGTATGGCAAAATCGTCAGCAGCGGAACCAGTCAAACGCTAGAGTAATGTTATATTTGGAACTTGTACTGGGTTTCCTCCTGCTCAACAATGATAGGTTTTCAGTTAAACGGCAGCCAACAGCTTCTTTATAACAAACGTCTTCTTTAATACTATTGAAAACTCGATTCACAGTTGATAATTCAAAGGAAGAAGGAAAGGCATTCACCATGTGCGTACTCTAGTACTTCTGACATAGGCACGTACCTATAGCAGCACCATCTTAGTCCGTACAACTTGATGGATCAAGTTGAAAGTGCGGAAGCCAAGGCATATGCAGCTTTGCTCGGGACCCCCAGCTCTATTACTATCCAAATGCTAATCACTTTTACCCGACATAGATAAAGGAGTGCATACTGGGTGCGTCTCCTTAAAAAGAGGATGCACAGGCAGTACTTACAGTATTCTATCTGCTAGCCTCAGTAAGCATGGTTGCTAGAATCATCACTTCTTTCATAAGCACGCACCTATAGCAGCAGCATCTCAGTCCGTACAGCTCGAGGGATCGAGATGAGAGTGCGGAAGCCAAGGCAAGCACAGCTTTGGTCAGGCCCCTAAGCATGTACTTGCCAGAAATAATTAAACCCAGATTCATCTTCCTTGTTCAGATCAAGGGTATATGAGCCCTAGCGGAGGTTCAGTCAGCGTCAACGCTGACAAATGGTGACACCAGTGCCAGCACCAGCACTACTACACTTTTTGTTGGGATTGAGGGGATATGAACCCTTTGCTGACTTTAATCAGCGTCAATTCTGAGTTAAAATACAGACTGAGATAGTACCAGTGAACATATTACTCAGACGTAGCCTAACAGTAACATTAGAAATAGCAGTAATGGCTGTTTAGCAGAAATAGGTCTGGTTTCTTAGAATCAGGCTAGACGCCTACTATAGGTGAATGAGAATAGACAGTGCAGTAGTACCGGCGCAAAGTCTAATGTCACTATATACTAAGCTTAGGCGGTGTTTACAGCTACGGCCTACGCCCCCTCTCTGTGCGGCCATCTTGACTTGTCTTGTCGCCGCTTAAATGCAGTTGAGAGGGTTGAGTGGGGTAGGTAGCGGCGTGTCTACGATCACTATACCTGACCAAAGTCACCGTCCCTGCTCTTGGGCAAATGGTGGACATCTTCGCTTGCAATGGTCGAACTAACACACGTAACTACCTAGTTAAGTTTAACTTTAGTTTAGTTTAGTTTTAGTCTAGGTTTACTTTACCTTCATTTTTAGTTTACTATTTAGTTTTGTTAGTTTTAGTTTCTTAGCGATTTGTTGTTACTTTTCGGATTACCGTTCTACAATATCTGGCCAAATGTAATACTAGCTACTGCTAGTTTAACGAGTGAGAAAAAAGCCGATTTTTCATCGATTTACGTCAATCCTAAAAAATCGAGCAAGAGTTGATTTACCATTGTGGCCACTTTGCGGGCACTATTCGCGCAATTTTTGTTTCCTACTGATGTGTTTCTCCTTTAAAATAGCGCGCGCGTTTCTGTTGCCTAAAATTCGGTTATTTAAAATAATTTAGCCTTTTATTTACTCCCTTTAGGAGATGCAACAAGCCAGCTGGTAATACGACGCCTTACGACTGCGATCACAAACGCTTTCCCCGCGAAGAACTTAGCGTGCTCCTCACGAAATCTCCTTCCTACGATTGGGAGATAAAGTTTGACTTCCGTTGAAGGCTTTATCTATGTGCATATACTCCTTCACGTGTTCTTCAGGGGCAAGCTACATTGGCCGAACAACGAGGCGCCTGGAGCACGTGAACACGTACCGGCCTGCTTAAGTAAAGGTTAAACTAAATCAATCTCGAACTGTATTCTCGCACACCTTATCGATACGAATAAACGAGTCGATACTAGTGAAATCTTTCAGGTTGTCTACTGGACACCAATCAACTTCTCCAAATGGCTGGCAAGAGCGGAAACAGTGGATATGCGCCTAATGAATCCAGTGCTGTGCTTTTAGAAAACTCTAACACAATCCCTGTCCCTTCCGTGACGGATGCAGATGCAGGGTGACGATAGCAAATCGCCCCCACCCACTAGTGGCAGTCGTTCACCCAACACACCGATCTGGCCTACTTGCGCAGACTGATATTGTCCGCAGTGGCAAATCGCCGCCCACCTTAGACAATTATTGGTTTTTCTACACGTTAAAACATTCATTTTTTTGCAACGTTAATGACCTTAGGAATAATTGCCGAAAACATGTATGCCTATTAAACTAACCTCTTTTTCCTCCTATGCCCCATCCATATAACACATCGTACCAAGGGTTACGATTTACAAAAACCCGGGATTTTCTGTTACTGCGGTTTTACCTACAGGGAATTCTTACCACCCTTTAGACTGCACATGTGGCCCTGCACAACATGCCAGAGTTTTCCTATTCCCCTATCCATACCCTGATGGAAAAATTAACGCTTATCCAAAACTTAGCCTTTAACCTTCACGTAACACTACTCAGCATTTAAACTTAGCTCGATCTTGAAACTTACGCTATTCCTCTACTCCCAGAGATAAAACGCCAGGGATGATGCTTATTCCATTGCGATTCTGAAATGTATTTTTCGTCTACTACAGGGTGTCCACAAAGTCTGGGTGCATAGGAG